ATATATATACATACACACACACACACATATATATATATATATATGTATATATATATGGAGAGAGAGAGAGAGAGAGAGAGAGAGAGAGAGACATGTGCATAAAGAATGAAAATGGCAATAAATAAGTACCTATCAATCATAACCTTAAATGTAAATGGATTAAATGCTCCAGTCAAAAGACATAGGGTAGCTGAACGGATATGAAAATATAACCCAATTATATGCTGTCTGCAAGAGTCCCACCTCAGAACAAAAGACTCACACAGCATGAGAGTGAAGGGATGGAAAAAAGTTTTCATGCAAATGGAAAAAAAAAAAGCTGGAGTAGCAATACTCATCTGACAAAATAGACTTCAAAATGACGGATAAAACAAGAGACAATAAAAGTCACTGTATAATACTAAAGGGATCGATCCAACAAGAGGATATAACCCTGGTAAATATATATGCCCCCAATATAGGAGCAACTAAATATATAAAAAGAACTTTTAAAGGACTTTAAGGGAGAAATCAACAGCAATACAGTCATAGTAGGGGACTTTAACACCCCACTGACATCACTGGATGCATCTTCCAGACAAAAACTTAATAAGGAAACAGAGACTCTATATGACACACTGATCAGATGGACTTAATTCACATTTATAGCACATTCCACCCCAAAGTTGCAGAATATACTTTTTTGTCAGTGCACATGGGCCATTCTCAAAGATAGATACATGCAAGGATGCAAAACATGTCTCTACAACTTAAAGAAAATTGAAATTATATCAAGTATCTTCTCAGATCACAGTGGAATGAAATCAGAAATCAACTACAGTACAAACACTCAAAAACATTTAAACACAGGGAAGCTAAATAGCATGATATTAAACAATGAATGGGTTACCAATGAGATCCAGAAAGAAAGAAAAAACTTTCTGGAAACAAATGCAATGAACACACAACAACCCAAAATCTCTGGGACACGGTGAAAGCAGTCCTGAGAGGGAAGTTCATAGCACTTCAGGCCTACCTAAAACAAACAAACAAACAAACAAACAAAACCACACAAAACAAAAAAACACACACAAGAAAATCTGGTAATAAGTTATCTAACACTACAACTTAAAGAATTAGAAAGAGAACAACAAGCCCCAAGGAAGTAGAAGAAAGGAAGTAGTAAAGATTAGGGCAGAAAGAAATGACATAGAAGCTAAAAAAAAAAAAATACAGAAAAATCAATGAAACCAAGAGCTGGATCTTTGAAAATAAGTAAGATTGATGAACCGTTGGCCAGACTCAAGAAACAGAGAGAGGTCCCAAATAAAATCATGAATGAAAGTGGTGAAGTAAAAACTGTCACCACAGAAATACAAAGGATTGTAAGAAAATACTATGAACAACTATATGCCAA